TCCACACAGCTTCAAGTGCATTTTTTTAATCTGACACTGCTCATTACTGGAAAGTTCCTCGTACAACAAAAGAATGTCAACAAATGCTGTTTTTCAGTTAGGTAACATTAGAAAGACAGATCTTAGGAAAAAAAGAGCAGCTACAGAAAAACTTGAGCTTGGCTTACATCATTACATGGGCAACATTGCTATTGAAGAAACTGCTGATTCTCTGGAGATGTAACACAAATAATAGAATGAATTCAAAGGCTAATAATAAATAATACAATCCTCCTTAGATGGAATGCGGAACTAAATGTTCTGTTGGACATTTCACTTACCATTTGCCTCTTGCTTTTCAGAGGAGTCTGGTTTTTGGCAAACACCACTTTCCCTTCTCAGGTCTGAGTGTCCAGGCAGCCCGACACTCTCCTTTTCACCAGCAGATGTATCCATATCAAAAAGCCCCCCCCCCTCTCTCCTTTTCTGATCCAGCTTTATTTTCATTGCTGTTTCTCTGCCGTTCCTGAAGAATGGTTTCACTTTCTTCCCAAGTAGAAGCCTGTGAGCGTTCAAATTCAGTCTGATCCATGTTAGAAATATAGCTTGCCAGAAAATCTTCTCCGTCCCTCTCATTTGGGTCATCTTTGGGAATTGTATTCTCTTCACTGAATTGAAAAGACCTTCTTCTCTTTGCAATGGGAAAAGAGGAATCGGTTTTTTTGTGTTTTCTTTTTGACACCTCTACAAAGAAACAGTAGAAAAAGCAAACCAAAAGATTACGAAAATAACTCTTTCAAAATCCATCATCTTCATTTTGCTTGACTTACAAGGAAACCAATCAAAGGAATTGAAGCACACACTCCCTACGTTCAGAAAAAAGTTCAATCTTTAATAGTGAACCAACCCCATTAAAAGTCAACTGCTTCATTTCATTCGCAAAATCATCATCTTCAAGATGTTACAGGCAGACAACTCTTCCCTTCAATAGGAATTATTTCTAAAAAGCAAGGTAAGACACTTCATCTTACGACATGAACAACACAGACAAACAGCCACACAGCCTTTAAAGTTGCTATCACACTCCAGTCTTTGAAAGCTAAATACATATTAAGAAGAGTTTAATTAAAGAGACAACTTTAAGGCAACATTCAAAGGAGAAAAAAACCAGCCTGTAAAGACTGACACGCCATATGCTTTCTGGTTCTGTTAACCTTGTTACAAACAAACTTTGTGGTTTTGCCCAACAGAAAAGCCCACCGTGCTTCGTATTTACGTAAGATTGCACAAAATGTGAGTGAACTCGGTGGCAAGATTCCCACTCACTCCTGAGACCAGGAATCTTTACAACATGTCATGTGTTCCGATGGAAAGAAGCCAAAGTCTCTTCATGCCCTACTCAAAGGAGCAGGAAGAAATAATGACTGTTCCCTTTCCATCTCTATTTTTATAGCTCCTCACTTTTTCTTCACTTTCACCCTTCAGTTGGAAATAACAGTAAAGGGGTAGCAAGTATTTTAGCATTCTGGGGACAGAAGGGAGGAGAGAAGGAAGATGCTCTTTTGCATCATTGAAAACTAACTGAGTATTCAGAAACCATGATACCAAGAATTAGCAATTTGGGAGCCTCTCAACGTCAGTTAAGTCATCAAGACCAGTGTTTGGTACCGGTAGGCCAACTTTTTATTTGAACTTTAATTCATAACCGTACTGATGGATGACCTCTGGATTTATCTCACTTTTTGAAGTAAATTCAAAAACATAAAACCACGGGCGTGACAGGTTTCTCTGATGCCTGACTCTTTATGTCACAATAACACAGGAGATAGTATCAGTGACATTGGTAAGTTCACCCAGAAAGTCTGAATAAATTGCAACTTGCCCTTGGAGACAGGTGTACTGGCATCTACAGGTGTCACTGTCATCTTTGTTTTGTCACTGCACTCGGCATCTGTTTTCTTACATCCAGGAGCAGAGTTTTCCTTTGCCATCACTGTGTAGAAATCTGGAGCATATTCTGAAGAGCTGCAACCTTGCGATAAAGCACAGAAAGCAAAGAAGTCTGTCTTGCATTTTCAGTTACAAATACAGAGACGAGTCTTAAAATCCTGACCCTTCAAACACATACCTCTTTTCTTACGAGATTCTTTAATTTCTTCACAACGCTGTTCTAAATCTTCATCTATCTCTTCCTTCACAATGGAATATGCAGTGTCTTTCAAACTACAAGCTCTGTGCCTAATGAGACGATCTGAAATTTTACAGGCAGAACTTAGGCAGTGAAACTCTTGATCACAGAGAAAAAAGCTGCTCTGCATTGGTAGTTTCTGAAAAAGGATATCTCAGGGAATACTTTTATTTACATTAACACTTACATTCCACATCCAAGCAGTTAAGTGCCACAAAATCTACAATCTGACAAGCAATGCTGTCCATGGATGTTAAAAAGGATCTGATGCAGTCTATCGCCTACGCACACCATTGATCCATCTATGCATTGTACAAGGATCAAAAGTGCTAACTCACCTGCAGGGTCTTTATCCGGGTTATATTCTAAGGCATTACTACAGATGAGATCAATATCTTCCAGGAAATCTCCTGCAGTTAGGTACTGGTGCAAATCAATCTTAGATAAAACCGTTGAAAGATCCATTGGATGCTTAATAACTGTGTCATAGTCAGGCACCTACAGATGGAACAGAAACGTTCAGAGGGTTTATTGGACTCGCACATCATCTACCAAAATTCTTCATTTTTAAAACTTCAACTAAATGACTTCTTAAAAGCCCTGAACATTTGTGACATCAGGAGATACTGAAATTAACTAGCAAACTGTTGGGAAATGGAAGGGCTCTTTATAACTTGTTGGAAATGGAATAAAGAAAAAGAAACAGGGAGGTCAGAAGCACACAGAGAGTACAAAACAGATTCGTTTCACTTTGTCTCAGAAAAATCACAACAAAGAAATCTGGGGAAGTCACCCAGCATTCTCTTTGTTGTTGGCAGTGAGAAAAAGGCTGCATGAATTGCACCTGAATGAATGTCAATGCTGGCATCTACTTCAGAATGAGATGACTGGACTCAGAGGTGCAGACTGTTTTACTCAGACTGTAAGAGGAGCCTAATGACTAGTTGAGATGAGGACATATATATTTGTTTAGATTATTCACACCTCAGGAACGGAGGGGAAAAGTCAGCAGATCCCTAAGGGAACAGGACTTTGCTGGTACGCAGCTCTATGAAAACTACAGGTGACTTGTAATGATACACCCCTGATTTAGACTTATGCAGTCACTAAAGGAGATAAGGGGACCTAAGAAGTACATGGGAGAAAGAAGAAACCACACAACACTTACAGATGATCTCATACTGAGTATTCCCAGATGAAACAGAGAACAGAATCTCAAAACTATTTTACAAACTGCTGCTTCTACTCCTGTTCCCACAGAAACAATGGGCAGTCCACAAAAGTGCTCTAGGCCTTATTAAAATACACCCATAAACGACATTTGTCATTATAAAGAAAGATGCCTCATATTTTCCAGTGCTATGGTGTGTCTTATCAAAAATCTTTTGAAAAGCAAACTGTGTTGGCTTTTGATCTGATGTTTTAGAACAGAAACAAAGCTTTGACTGAATATTCAAACAACAGACAGGTGAGAGCCTAAGGAAATCAGCAAAAGTAAAAGCTCTTCTTGCTTCTTGCAATATCACTAAGAGTACAGTCCTTAAAACAAGGAGAAACCTTCCTATACAGAGCTCACAAACACTGAGAAATTACACGCACACATAGATGAAATGGCATTATAGATCAACATCACTTTACCTCCTCTGGGTCAACAGGCTTTGTGAAGGCCTTGAAACGTCTGTCGACAGCAAGTCTGTGAGTAACATCCCTCAAGAAAATTCGAAGTTCACGCAAGGTATTTTTCTCCTGCTCCTCCAGACACTTCATTTCTTCCTCTGTCAGAGGTCGAGGTTCAGGTGGTGGTGCTACAGGCAATACTTCCAATGTCTGCCCAGCTTCAATTAATCAGAAAATTTTAGCCAATGTCAGGTACTCAAATACAAGCACGTGCAATAAGTACTGATAGAAACTGCCACCCAAGCAAATACTGAACAGCTAGTAACTTGCAGTTAGGAAAGTTTCAGATGTAGAATATCCTCACCTGCTTTCCTTCTCGAAGCGGGAGGTTTAGCAGCTTGATTCAAGATCAAGTCCTCAAAAAAATGTTTTCTTTCATCCTCACTGGGAGATTGGATATTGAAAACTTCTCCAAAATCACTGTTAAACAGTGTTTGTACCTAAAGCACAAAGAGAAAACTGTAGGATAAACTGGTAACGTTGTGACATTCACAACATCTAAGACCACTCACTTTGTACTGACTTCCCTTGCTGCCCTTTAATTTTAACCTGCATAGTAGCTAGAGAAGGAAGACAAAGGATTCAGTTCAGTAGACCAGAGAGAGCTTTCTAATAAGTTTTTATTTCTGTATTTAAATAAGGTCTCAATTTGCACGCTTCTAAGGTGCAGTCTATTTTTCTACCTTTACTATCAAGAGGTAGGGAAAGAATTTCAATATTATCTTAGAAGGAATTTATTTACCAGTATAAAAACTTCTGTGGAAACTTAAGCACTCCCAAAGCATTTCCTAACAAACACATCTAGGCAATACCGTCTTCCCCTTGAAGCACTGAGACAAAGCAATCAGAGTGAAAACAGCACATTTCCATTCTGAACACTTTAATGCAGACTCTTAGAAGTCTGCAAAGGATTCATCATTAAGCACATGTATGCTTATTGAAGTTTAGTTAGAAATACAATAAAAGTTGGATTTCAAAGTTACTTAGAAAGAAGTTGGAACTCAGCTTCCGATTTGAATCTTTAGCCTTTACAAAGGGATGGATTTTTTTTCCTAGAAGTGTTGCAATCTTAACTTATTCTAAATTACATTTAATTACTAGCATTTCATCCACCCTACTATGCAATGGCAGTACATCACAAGAAATGTTCTCACTAAAAATATATTTTTGCTACCTCCATTGTA